AGCCTATAATGATATATACTAGAGAAGAAGCTACACGCCACAAATGAATGCATAGGTATGGTCAGTTTCAGAACTAGAATTATAAAGAATCCAGCCTGAATGCATCACATATGTATTTGCAGTAATGGATTAGAAGTATTAACTGCTACTACTACTACTTAAATGATGATGCAGTTAGATTGTAAACAGTGGTTCAGAGGTGAGAAGTAACTTCACTCAAGTACTATACTTAAGTACAATTTTAAGGTATTTTTTTACCTTGAGTATTTTCAATTTATGCTACTTTATACTCCACTCTATTTGAAAAGGAAATAATTTAATTTTACTCTACTACATTTATTTAACGGCTTTAGCTACGTTTAACAAAATGCATCTCTACAAATGAAACTACTGGACTCACTCAAAGTCACAAAATAGTTAAATGATTTAAATATCTTACAAAAAGTTAATCAGAACTTTGTTTGTCTCCAACAGTAAAATGCTACTTGATGCAGCAATATTATCTCGAAATTTCACATATATAAATATAATGATATGCCAGGGTGTCCGCGGGGTCTTAAAAAGTATTAAAAGTTGATAAATCAATTTAGCAAAAATTAAGGCTATTAAAAATAATTTTAAAGTATTAAACGGCATTTTCCAAGGTATTACATTTTGTAGCTTGTTTTCAATAAGTATATCAATTGTCCAAAGAGGTTGTATTCTACAGTCTGCCTGAATGTAATCATTGCGTAGGTGTGTAGTGTGATTCTGTGTAGTTTATTTATGGCATCCCGTTGGATTTGACGTCATCTGAACAGGACATCTCACGCTCACTGCTTGATAGCGCGCGAAGGTCCGTTTACGCCGGTTGTTAAACAACATCGTTATGGGGAAATGCAAGTCTGCGTCCAAATGGTTGGAAGATAAGGAGAAAGGACAATCAATACTGTATATAGTCAATTTGAGGTAAAGTGTGTCGCCAATGTAACCGGTTAAAACTCCAAGTGGCGATGAGTTCTTAAAATGTATGGAAAGGGTCTTAAAAAAAGGTCTTGAAAGGTATTACATCTGACTTCAGGATTCCTGCATATACCCTGTATCATCTAAAGTACTTGAGTATTTTCAATAAATGTAACTCTTACCTCTTTTCTGAGTTAAGTATCATATTTTGACTACATTTATTTCAGAGCTTTAGTGACTAGCTACTTTGCAGATTTAGATTATTAAAACATTATATAAGGTGAAATATTAAGTGATGATGTAATAATATAGATGAATCTACCCATCCAGCAGTATAATTAAAATAAGCCCCACCCTCAGCAGCTGCAACATTAAAGCGATGAACGCATTATCGTAACATTACTTAATGTTAATTAATCCAGTGATATTATATACGATACATTCAGAAAACTTCACTTCTGTCTCCCAAACCCGACACACACTTTTTAATTAAGAAATGTAATATCCACGTCTCACACACACCAAGCGATTGATGTGAGGCGAGTGTGAGGAACAGCACGTGGGACATTCTGTACAACAGCACCCTGTGTGTGTGTGTGTGTGTGTGTTTGCTTATGTGTGTAGTGTGATGTCAGTAGTGATCAGCGTATGTCTTGTTTGTCTCTGAGATCAGATAAGATGGATATCCCGGAGTTTGACCCAGATGCTTATCTTGGTGTCAGGCGTGAGTTATGTATCATGGTGCAGGTTCAAATTGGCTGTGCTAAGTGACTCCCCAGCTTGGTGTAAATGCTGCAGGGAGGAGACTACTGTGAGTGTGTGTGTGTGTGTGTGTCAGTCGCAGGATATTGAGTGCTGTAGGAGAAGCAGTAGATCATTTTAGGGCGGCATGCCTGTACGCCTTTAACTGCAGACTTATTTCTTAGACTTATTTTATTGGACTTGTACAGGATTATTACGTTAATATTTGACCTAGTTAAAACCCCATTGTCAGTTAATAATCCTATTACTCTTTCTGTGTGTATTGAGGGTTTCTTAAGGATGTTTTTGTCTTTTTGAGAGAGCTGGATTAAGAATTGTTGGCTGAAAAGCTCTTTTTAGTCATTGTCCTATATGTGAGCACGACTTCTCAGGGCATTACATTCCCAAGTAGTGGGCTGCATCCACATGGTTCACTGCACTTATTGTAAATTGCTTTGGATGAAAGCACGAGCTAAATAAATGTAATCTTTTCTGTGGATTATGTTGGAGTAGCTCCGGCCAACCCATCTCCCCCTTCGCACACCAGTTTTTGTTTGCAGTATTCACCCTCCCACTGTCCTCTCTTGTATTTTTCTCCTCCTTTTTATTCTGCACCCATCGTCCCCCCTCTTCTCTACTCTGGCACTGTTGTAGCCACAGTGTCCCACATGGAAGCCCTGTCCTGGTCCTTTTCTGTAAATACTTTGTGAGGATGTTGGCCCTCAGTGTGTCTCTACTCTCCAGGAAGCTTTTTATTATGATTCTATTTGATTTAGGGCTGCTCGATTATGGCAAAAATCATAATCTCGATTAATTGGGTCAATAATTGATATCACGATTATTAAAAACGATTATCCATTTACTGAAAAAAAAATGTGTTAACAGTATGTTTTTAACAGTTGATTACCCTGAACTTTAAGTATAATTCAACTGAAAAACCAATAAAAAAAATTGTTTTAAAATAAAAATAATAATAATAAAGAAAAATAGTTTAATTTCGATTATGTTGTTTTCATAATCGTTGCAAGCCAAAATCGTAATTGCGATTAAAATACGATTTAATTGAGCAGCCCTAATTTGATTTATATGTTAGGATACAGTAGGATAGTAAATAGATTAACAAAGAAAAACCCATGATCTGATCAAAATAGCAAGCTATGACATTTACATTTTCTGTTTGTATTTGTGGGTAACATTTCTAAAGAATAAGTTGCTTTTCATTTGAAGCGATTGTAGAATGAAATAGATTTGAGCACCACATATTCATCTACTTCTAATTGTTAAACTACAATTATATAAGGTACTATAACATTTTACAGGCACTATTTAGCTATACTTGCATACAGGATATCTCTTGTTTGGAGGGTTTTCTTAAAAATATCAAGGACAGACATCCTCATTTTTAGATATATATATATATCTGCTCCAAACTAAATTCATGCTTTTCCATTTGACGTCTGAAAAAAAGCAGTAACTAAATGTCACCACTGACTCCCCACTGACTCACAAATGATATTTATTAGAGAATTTGTTGCACTATTTCCTCGAGTGCTGTGCAATCTCGCACCTGATTGTAGGATTTTAGAAAACTCCACGGTGTGCCTGTTCATTTTGGAGTCATTTAAGACACAATCAATCTTTAAAATGTCTGTTTAGCAGAATATCCCTGGAGTGAGAATAATATAGTGGAAAACTCAAATGTGTATATGTATTTGGTTTTAAAGCACCCTGCTGTGTACTAGGAAGACATTAATGTCCCACTAAAGGTTGACTGTATAGTTCTTCGTGAGTCTTTGCGGCTGACTGTCCTGTGTCCTCACGTTGCCTTTGCTGGGTCATCCTCCTGCTCTGAATACGCTGATGTCTTTTGTTCTTGTTTTCTTTAAAGGACAGAGGTTTCTGTAGGGAGCAAACGTTACTCAACAAAAAGCTAGTGGGTTCTTTTATCTAGTCAAAATCAGCTAGGAAATACATGTTTTCCAGGGTAAGGGGTTAGACAAAAATTCCCTTCAAGAATTTGGAATTCATTAAAATAAATAAATAACACTAAATACATTAAAATACATACAAATAAGAGGTTCTTCTACCTAGTTATAAAACGAGCTAGAAAATACACATTTGCCATTCTATTTAGCATACTTGTTAAAAGTGGCCCTGACAGTGAACCCCTTCAAGAATTGAGCATTTCCAATTCATAAAAAAGAATATCAATATTCATGTATAGAATAAAAAGCCATTAGCTAGGAGATAAATATTCTTTAGTAAGGTTAGCTGGCTTAATAAAAGGACACTCATAATAATGTTGCATTTTAATTCAGTAATAAAGAAGAAGAATACAAACAAATATTTCAAAGTTTCAAAGTCAGCCAAGGTTAAGACGCACCTAGTACAGAGTGTCCTAGATATATGTCACTGTGTAGAAAACTTCACTTGTGTTGAACATGCTAAACTTGAATAGAAAAAAAGTAATTGTCAAAGCCTGAGTCGGCCACCTCCAAAACATCTGGACCTGCTTCTATATAAACATATAGCACATGAAGTCCTAAGGGTTTAAAGACAGAATAAGTGAGTCTAGTGAAGCTAGATATACTCCAGCAATAGAGGCTATACTTCATGGTGTGTGAGACTTTGGACAAAACTTACTGTAAGATCAACTCACACTCTCTCCGCCTCACAGCCCATCTTCAAACAGAGCCTCTCTCTTATGCATATACCTCCCTTGCATACACCTCCTTTTATCACAGTATATTTCTTTAAACAGTGCGAACATGAAATGATAATCTCACGGCGCCTTTATACCCACTCGTTCCTCTTTCCCCCCCCCGGTGCCCTGGAGCTTATCCATTCCTACCTGAACTCTACAAGAAAGCCTCTGAAAATACAGCGGCTGGCGTCCCAAAGACGCAAAACCTGACAAGGCTGTTCTTTAGTTGAAACTCCTAATACAGAAGCACTATATGCACTCATCGTTGACCTTTTGATGACCAATTATCCAGTGAGTGCTGTTGATAGTGTAGCTGGTTAATCTGCACCGTGCCACCTCTTTGAAATTGTGCGGCTAAGAAAATGTCACCTAGACCTGCTAAGAGGGATGACACGAGGACATCAGTTGTTCACAGCACTCAAGGTCTATATAATCTATCAATGCCCACATTATTTTCACATCATCATTTCTTCTTCTGACGAATCCAGTTATGTCCTGGTCTTTTTGTACTTGTCAAGCCAACTAATGTTCAAACTATTCAGGATGTCCTGCCGTTCTTTTGATTAGCCGCTGTGCTAACCTTTAACTCCTGCAATCATGTTGTCTTTTCCAGGTATCGAATGCCCACGCAGTTCCAGGAATATGCCCGGGGGGACGCAGGTGGCTGAACCCTTCAGTGAAGAAGCCATGCTGTTCACCAAAGAGCTGGTGCTGCAGAGAGAGGTAAGCAGGCTTGCGGGATATTCTGGCCCCCGTTTCATCACTTCCTCGTGGTTTGAAACGCTCATTCCCATGTTGCTAACACTTGGCGTTTTGCTATTTTGGCAACCCACATTGCTGCATTTTATTTTCACACTCACAGTCCAAGTTTAGTCTGCTTTGAGCCTTTTGGTTTAGAGATGTGAGAAGAATACAGACTATTATACTTTTCAATTACAGTTGCTCAATAGCACAGAAGCTACTTTTGGCTGGAGAACACATTTCCGGCATCAGGCATTCTGGCTTGTTTTTAAGCGACTGCCGCACTGAGCAGAATGAATTTGATTTGAGCACCACATATTCATTTAATAATAATTGTTAATTTACAATTTTATGAGGTACTATAACTTTTACGGGCACTATTTAGTTATACTTCCATACAGGATATCTCTTGTTTGGAGGATTTTCTTAAAAATATCAAGGACAGACATTCACATGTTTAGATATATATCTCTGCTCCAAACTAAATGTTTTTCCATTTGACATCAGCAAAAAAGCAGTAAATAAATGTCACCACTGACTTCCCACTGAAATTATCTTTATTAGAGCATTTGAAGCATTCTCGAGTGCTGTGAAATCTCAACCATAATCTAATCAAAAGTGGCCACCATCAAGTAGACCAAACCAAAAGCAACCTCCCCCGCTTACACCCAGTTTATGGAAAGCTCACCTGATAGTGGATCAGTGCTCCTGGGCTTTAGAAAACTCCACTGTGTGCCTGTTCATTCACATGCTAATACATTTTTATAAGAAGCAGCGAACGGACCGAGCCCATAATGGAACGAGCTATAATCCCGCCACCACTTATCCCGGCCACACACTGCCTCTCTTTAACTCCCCCTCTCCATCCATATCGCTGCTTTAAAGGGCTCTCTTTGCATAGGGTGGCTGACTCCACTGCCCAACGCTCTTTAATTGTCATGGAAATGTACCTTGGCTGGGGTATTGAGGTGGACTACTGTTAGAGAGTGGTAGAGCTGTGTGTGTGTGTGTGTGTGTGTGTGTGTGTGTGTGTGTGCGTGTGTGTGTGTGTGTGCATGTGTGGCAGTGGTGGAAAGTAACTACTGTAAGTAAATGTACTCAAGTAATGTAAGTACAGAGTATTTTCATTTCATACCACTTTAAACTTCTACTCAATGAGTACTCCTAATACTTTAGGTACATTTTCCTAATCATACTTAAGTACTTTTACTAAAGATTCACGATGCAGTACTTTTACCTGAAGGTGTGTGGCGAGCCAGGAGTATAGGTTGGATCCAGGAAGTCTCGGCTGTGAAATAATTGATGCTAGCAACAGGGGATTTTGATTGACAGCAAACCATGAGTCGGTGCAGTGCAGAGGTGCTCCTCCAGCGCTGACATGTTGATATGAATTTTTATTATATTCTTTTTTCAGATGCACACACAAATGCATAATAAATCAGATTTATAAGGCGCCCGCTTCGCCACACCGCCCTTAGTCTTTCGGATCCGCACGCATATTAAATTAAACATTGCTATCCATACACACTCTTGACGCACACGCTCTCTCTCACACATTTTCTCCCTTGCCAGTCATTGGTGGTGTCAGCAAGTTTCTTCACAGGTAGGTGGGAGTTAGCAGGCAGGACGGAGCCCGGTGCGGGGGCTGCTTGGCTGGCTGCTCTGACCTGCTGTTATGGACTAATATGAACACAAACACACTCAACGGACACGTTTCAAGTAGATAACAACACAGTTAAGCGTTCACACATGAGCTGTCACTTTTCCAAAAAAAAGTGAAATCATTAACTGAAAAAATAAGTAACTTTTTGAAAATACCTGTGTAGAAAATCAGGCTGTTCTTGGCAAGGAAAAACAGGTGACGGGTCTGAAAACACACTTCTAGCTGTAAGAAGTCAAATGATGGTGTATTGGTGAAGTGAAAAGGTGAGAGGGAGTGCAGAAGCTCTAACGAGAGATGAGTATATAGCGGCATAATACAAAGATGTGATGTAGGATGGAAAGGTAGAGACACTTGACGTCTTTCTCTCCATCTCTCCTCTCCCTGAGGGCGACCGAAACGGGTTATTAAGGTGTGTCACTCTCCAACGTGAATACGCATCATTTAGTTTAATAGCATAAGATTCCGCTGTTGATCCGTGTCTGAATAGCGTGTGATTGCAGAAGCTTCTCACAATGTTTTGGAAGATGGCCTCACGTGAATAACATTTGATTTGGTTTCTTGCGGCGTATTTATATGCATTCATCAAATATTTCTCTCGCTCTCGCTACTCCACAGGCATTTTGAGTTCTGTAGGGCTTTGTGATGTGATGGCATGTTGACTCAATGGTCTGTATGCTTTTTTTTCTCCATGCACTTCTGTATTTTACTGCTCTGTAATTATCTGTTCTCTCTGCTTTGAAAGCGGGTGCAGACACGAGCTTTTTGGTGCTTTCACTAATAGCCTTTTCTCTCTCTCGCTTCCTCTTTGTCATTTGTGGCTTCTTCTCGCCTCCCGCGTCTTCTCTGGTGTCCAGTTTTAAATCTGACATTTGCTCTCAGCTTTCTCCCCCCTCCTCCTTCCTTTCTTCCCACCCCCTCCTTCCAGCAGATATGACTGCCACACAGCCATATCTTAATTTCTCCTGATGCAGACACGCATAATTAATGTGGCATCCTGCGAGGGGAGAGGCCCCGGTTTCTGTCTCCTCTATTTATAAACACCACCACCCCTCATTCCAACTGTGTCTCTCTGGTGATTCGCTGCCACTTTTTTCTTTACAGATTTCTTTCACTTTCTGACTCCCTTTTCTTCAAAAAACCCTTTTGTGTTTATCTGCTCCGTCTCCCTCCCTCCCTCCCCTCTTCCTCTCTTCTACTGTCTGTCTGCCTCTCTCCCTCTGCGTTGTGTTAATCTCTGACAGACACTGCTCCCGTTCGCAGTGTGGAACCCAAACAGCAGCACATCATTCTGAGGAAAAAAGGAAACTCATGGTAAACACCACTCCCCAGACGTTTCGCTTTTCTGTTTTGATGTATTCCCTTTCATTTCTCTCACCTCCCACCTTCCATTGACAAAAAAAAAAAGCCTCCATTCAGAGTCTCTGTCACTGACGCCCTCTGTTTTTATTTTCGCTTTGGGTGGCAACTTCAAACGCTCAGGCTAACCAGCAGGGACGAAGAAGGAAGAATCATACCGCGTGTTTATCGAGCAAGAGCCAGCTAGATACGGGACATAATTAGTTGTGTAGCGTTACTAAAGCACACAATTCGGTGAAACAATATTTAAACTGTTCCCGATGCCTCATTAGAAAAATGTATGTTTTAATTAGATTCATTCCAAACAGAGGAGGCTGCAAGGTGAAAAATGTGACGATGACAGCAAAGTTACATTAAACTTAAAAACTATTTCAGACATGCTTGAAGAATAGTTGTTACCAGGTGTTATTTTTACATTTGAATATTGAGTAAGAGCTTCTGCAGGGTTTTACATAAGCTCACATCTTTCAATTCAGTTCCAAATTGCATATAGTTTGCAGTGCTGATAAGTAACAAAGTACATTTACTAACTTTAAGTACTGCACTCAAGTACAATTTTGAAGGATGCTACTTTGCACTTCTACTCCACTACACTCTAGAGGTAATTTGTGTACTTTTACTCCACTACATTATTTAATACCTTTAGTTACTTTACAGATTTGGATTATTGATGTGAAATATAATAAACACTTAAATCAGTCTTTATTTACACCTGGAGTAAATTCACAAGCTACCCTGCAGTATACAATGTATATTATATATACACAACATATCATATATTATTATTAAATGGGCCAATCTGCATAATAAATACTTTTACTTTTGGTACTTTAAGTATATTTTGACGCTCATACAGGACTTTTACTTGTAACAGAGTATCCCTACACTCTAGTACTTGTACATTGACTTAATTACAAGATCTGTGTACTTCTTCCACCTCTGCTAGTTTATAATATTTCATCTTTGCTAATGAGCTTTGAAGCTTGCTTTGTTTTGTGTTCATCAGCACAGAATAGATTGATTGGACCCGTTGTATATTTTTCCAGTTATATAACAGATCCCCTTCCGAGGGGGAGCAGGGAAGAGGGTGAGGCAGAGCCGGAGTGTTTGACGAGCAGGTATGAGAGCGGGCTAAGTGGACAGTAATATGCGATGTACTGATCCACCTACGTCCTCCGTCAGCCCTGTTGACCTCATTCAGTCTGGGTGGTCCCTCATCTCCTGCTCTGCCTACACACCAACCATTTATCTACCTCTCACACAGACACGTTCCTATAGTTACACTCTGCTTCACACAACATGCACACACATGAACATTGTTTATGTGTGTGTCAGGGTTTTCTTCAGTACCATACACTTTGTAAAAAGGATTTTGAACAATGTGTATCATGCCCTTGTGATGCATTAACTCTGCAATGTTCTCTGGAAACTTGTCATCAGTCTATTTAGTAGGAATATTTTATAAATGTATAGCTTGTAGTGCATGTCATCCCTTTGGAACAATCATTTAGAGACACTTCATTTCACCTCAAATTTCAAATAACATGGCAATAATGAAAAATGTTAATTGCTATAATCAAGCAAAAAAAAAAGAAAGAACACACAACAAGATTAAATTAGCATTTTAACATAATAGCCTCGGTCTTTAAGCACACATACAAACATACACACATACTCACAGACACACACTCACACATACACACACACACTTACCTCTCTCTGTGCAGAATGTCAAATCTCGGTGTCGTGTAGCTTGCGCGTCGCTCCCGCCTCTAACCCCTCTTTAAACAGTTCCCTCGCTCCCACCTTACCCCACCTTGGGACCAGCACTGTGCCCCCCCCGCTGTTAAAGGTGGGGGCTGGCACAGGCTGCCTTCAGACCTGCAGGGGGCCGCGTCGTGGAGCGATGATGAGTCATTGTGCAGATCACAGATGCCCTGCTAATTCCTGCCTCGACAGATCT